TCCTATCCTCTACCATCCTGTGGAGTCCATTTAAGCTCATGCCAACTGCTTCAGTGACTCCACCCAGCCACCTTATTCTCTGTCGTTCCCTTCTTCTTTTTGCGCTCAATCTTTCTCAGCATTAGTCCTTCTCCAGGAGGCTGTAGTATACCACACAAATCAGGGGTCCCCAAACTTGGCAACTTTAAGACTTGTGGACTTCAGCTCCCAAAATTCCTCAGCCAGCATAGCTTGAAGTCCACAAGTCTTAAAGTTGCCAAGTTTGGAGACTCTGACATACATATGTTCCCATCCCAATAAGAAACAAGGAGGAAATAGGCTAGCCATGAAGGCCTATTTAGTACTCACAGATTTTACTGCCTCAGAGGTGGTATTCAGCAGGTTCTGACCAGTTCTGGAGAAGTGGTAGTGGAAATTTTGAGTAGTTCAGAATACCACCTCTGACTGACCCCTCCCCCATCTATTCTCTGCCTCTCGAGTCTCAGCTGATTGGCTGGGTCTTCTTTTGTTGCCCACACAGGAGAACGGAGCTGGAAAGTAGGTTAGTCGGATGGGGAGAAAATGGAGATTTTACAGTATCCTTCCCCTGGAATGGGGTGGGAATGGAGACTTTACAGTATCTTTCCCCTGCCATGCCCACCAAGCCACACAATGCCCACCACGCCATGCCCACAGAACCAGTAGTAAAAATTTTTGAATCCTACCACTGATCTGCCTAACCCAGGTTCTTGGTAAGGACTCAGTAGGGGGACAAAAATGCCAAATCCAGTCTGACCTTCTGGCTGACTGTGTGACGAACCATAATTTATTAAACTTTTATGCTGCCCATTTGTGAGCCACTCTGGGCAGCTAATAACAATCAAACAAAAAAAATCACCAAAAAGTCCACCCCAAACAAACAAAAAACAAAGATGAAAGATAGCAAGCATGATGACGTGAAGGCCACACACTTCCTTGCTAAAGGGCTGGGTAAAGAGCCAGATCTTCACAACTCTTCTAAGCAATAATAGAGTGGGGCGATCATCTGGATATTTGGGGGGACAGGCAGGCAATGCTACAAGAAGGTGCATTTCTGGATCTCGATAGATGATATTGTTCAACTAAAGAAATGTGCAAACTTTCAGAATTGAATCAGTTGGGCAGATATTATGGGAGATAGGCAATCCACAAGTAACCAGGGCCTATGCCATGTAAACATTAATTTAGCTCTGGTATACAGAAGAGGCTGAGGAAAAGTCAAGATTGTTCCACCTTAATTTTCTTTAGTGTAAGAGGAGAAAGACAGAACACCTGTCAGTTTCAAGATTCTGCTAAACACCCTATAATGACAAAGTAGAGTTCTAGTAGTTCATATAGTGTCTCTTTCCTAACTTGGTCTATTTGAGGTGCTAACATATGATGGAGGAACAAGAAAGGATTACAATAAGAAGGTTATATGAAAACTGTGTATATGCTGTTACTAATTGAAGCATCAGTCTAAATCATGAACTATATGATGGCAGTTGCACTCCATTACAACCAAAGGGGTCAGATTGGAAGAGACTGCTTGCACGTAACAATGTATGAAAGTTTATGGCAGCACAAAAATCAAGGGGAAGTATTATGTGAATGTGTACTTCTAGAACATATTGCAAATATTGGAAGAACTATAGCCGAGTCAATGGTGCTTCAATGCTCTTTGATTACAGATCCTTAAAAACATATTAGTCAAGGGAATAATGTTCAGGCTTAATTATAATATACAATAGGGGTCCCCAACTCTTGGTTGTGGCCAGTGGGAACGGCCACAGAAGTGGCGAGCAAGCATGTGCATTTATCCACTTGCGCAAGTAGCAGGCAAGTGCGTGTGCACAAGCTCCATTTGCATGAATGGCATGCATGCATGCAGAACCGTCTCCTCCTCCCACTCCCATGTCGGTCCACAAAGCCTGAATGGTTGGGGTATCTGATACATGCCATGTGAAGGTTTGGCAATTTGAAGGCAAAGGATCTATATTGAGATTACTCTATTTTATATTTCAATATATTTCGATTGCCTTATTTTGCATCTCAACTGCCTTCAGGTCCCCATTTTTTTGTATTTTAATCTGAATAATCCAACCAAAAGTTATCTTGCCAGCAACACACAAAGGCCCAAAGAGAAACTCTGTTTTTTTTCCTGCATTTTTCTCTATGATTTTGGTCCCGGGCCAAGTGAAAATGCACCACCTGTCACGGGTGATCCCTGGCTTTGCTTCATCCTTGGTGGATCAGTGGTGAATTTCAAACAGTATTTCAGGGCAAACTAAAATTTTAAGATTCCAGTTGAAGTGGCTGGAAAAATGATGGATATCCAAGAAAAATGTCCACTGTATAATATGATACCTACAGACTCCAGGAAGATGAACAACGGATCTCTATGTCAATGAACAGTTTTAGACAATATGTAAAGTCCTGTTAAATTATTACAAGTTTAGGAAACCAGCCATACAACACCCATTGAGCATCCTGGCTCATACTAAGCCATGAACCATGGTTTGGAAATTGCCATGACTAGAGTCACACTTTGCACTGACCAATAAACAAGCAAAGTATTTTGTCACTGAGTTCTCATTACTTTCATATATTGAACCATGACTTGCTCAGTCTAGTTTTTGGGGTTCATATGATCCACCAATTGGATTTACTTAACATAGTGAGGCTACATGTAGTTAGTGCTTTAGAAATGAGTAAAAGCTGATAGCTTAACAATCTTTTGGTTTCAGATGATCTGAATTAGAGTATCTATCATGGGCAAACTAAAATGATACTGTTTGTTCATTCTGTAATTCTTTGTGTATGTGTGTTGAAAATCCTTCGGGAGTGGGGCAGTTTATATATACTGTAAACAAGCAAGCAAATGCATAAATGTGTCTGTTAACTATTGGGTAGACCCTGTCATTGTTAGTTGTGAAAACAGGAAGCCTGGTTTTGGGTGGTTGTTGTTTGCACAACATGCAAACCCATGGCTAACTGATCCATACTTTAATGACTTCACCTAATCATCTAGATGTGGCAAGATATGGAATCATAACTAATCATACTACCTGAAGATTGTGTGGCTCCAAACTTTTTTTGTTCCTAGCTTAGATCCAGTTTGTGATGCAGTGTGATGCAGTGACAAAGTTATGTAAAACAATAAAACAAGATAAAAATAAAATAGTAAAACAAGAGTGCCTGAAAGCAGTGAAGCAGGGATTACAGATATTTGATACAAGTCAGTGGTATCATATACACCTTTGTACAAATGATATTTATGTAATTTGCCTCCGTTGTATTTCACACTACATTATCTGTGTCATTTCTGAAATGACATCATAATACTTGTGAGATTGCTTGCCCCTTTTTCCTCTCATAGATGGTCCTGACATGAATGGTAATCAGCAAACCTCTTAATTGTATTGCATGTCCAATGCTGTGTAAGTAGAGAAATATACACTATTTCTTTGATACATCTTTCACCTTAATTTCTTCAATTACAGCTTTACAAGCCAGTATCCTATCCAAGTATTGTCCAGATATAGATTTCTTTATTTTTAACCAAGTGTACTTAGGTCATGTTTTAAGACAGTGCTAAACAATATTCTTGAGTTAGTGGGCACATTTGAAGTGGGAAAAGTGTGTGAGTGTGTTTATATGTGTGTCGGATGATCCCAAATAGTTTTCTCCACATTTTCCTTTGCAAAACAAGCGAGCACCTTAGGTGCATATACAAACTCCTACTACTGGTACCTTCCAAGTGAGGACCTGCTACATTGCAAGAACAGGAAGGATAAAACAAAGGTGGCGAGAGAAATACACATAGGCAGACTAAAACAATCAGTATGCTATATGGCTGTACCTAAGGTAGCCATCGAGTTTAACAGACACTTCCTGTTTCCTGACTTCCTCCTACGTTCTCCCTGGAGGCTCATGGATGCAGCTTGGTCGGCCAATCAGACATAAGGAACTATTTCTGTAGATCTGCCTGTTCTATGCTTACAGTATTCTATAAAATAGTTTCTGTTGTCAGCTGCTGTCTGTGATAACATACTAAAGAGTTATTCATTTGGACTGTATAGTTTTAAATTATTTAAAAAAACACCCTTCCCCCAGTTCTTGACAGTTGAATGGATCTGAATCATTTTTACTAAAATGTGTTTGGATCGTATTGCATTTGATTGAAGACATAATTATGGAATTTAAAAAATAATCTCAAACATCATGTATAGATGCACTCTGGACATTTGTGGGTAGGGAGGGTGGAAACAAAAATACAAAAATCAACTCCAAAAATATAAAGAATGGGTTGTATTGTGGCTATATAGTTTTTTTTTTAAATAGAATAGTAACTGAATAGTAGAATATTGGATTATTTTGCAATGTCATGATCTGGAAAGAAGTAAATGATATATATTTGATTTTGAAGTAAAGATTAATATTTTCAGAGGCACACAGGTTTTTGTGTGTATCTATTCTAATGAAATTGACAGCTGAAAATGGATTCTCCCCATTCTTATTAATGCCAAGAGGTTAGTTATGTAAAAATTAATTATATACAGTATATTTACACATTCTCTCTCTTGCACACACACACACACACACATAGACACAGACCTTATACGCATGAGAAACCTTTATAAAGATAATTTATTTTAGTACTGCAATTCCTTATTTTTTTCTATTGCTTTCCTATTTTATTGAAAATAGGAAGAATATTAAAAGATCGTTAAATTATGCTACAAATCATTCAAACAGAAAAAAAATCCTCCTATAAAGGTGATAAATAATATAAACATCTATAGTATTTACTATATATGGAATATCCATGCTTATCCTTTTGGAATATTTTCATTTTATTTCTACATCACTTCCTTGCATGTGTCTTTTGATTTACTTACATGCTAAGAAGAAAAGTCAAACCCAGCCTTGCTTTAAGGCATTATTAGACAAACTGCATCATGGCTTATCCCCTATCCATTTCTTTTTCTTTTGTTCAATAATTTGCAGCCATTGGGTTGAGATGATAGCAGATTGCAGGGATTCAAAGAGAATAAAGCTTGTTTGCCCTCAGTATAAGCTCATTCTAAGTTTTTTTTAAAATAAAGTGCTTTGAATCTTGTCTATATAAAAGTTGCAATATGGTGTATTTCCTACATACATTTATTTTGCGTGATTAGTCCAGGTCCCAATGGTTTCCAAACTTTTATAAAACCTGGAGCAGGGAGAAATTCAACATACCCAGTGCTCCCAAGGCATCATAATCCTTTTTTTTGTTTACAATTGCCACTCCTTTTCCTACTTTTCATTTGGTATGTAATCTGGTGCTTCAAGGATCATTACGTGCTTAACTCCACCATGCCGACAGAACAGCTGAACATGCAGAAAACCGAGAACCCACCCTCTCAAACTTGCTCTTCTATTTCTGCTGTCAAGGATCCTCAATCACAAACTCTGATTAGCAGAAAACAAATGATTTCTGACCTGATGGTCCATATGCAAGATGAGACTGGACCTACCTTGCTTGCTGTTTTTGGACATTCCTTAACCAGCCACAGATTTTTAGAACTTAAAAGAAGACTTTGTACATGTAAATTGCTCAAATTTGCTTAGGTGCCTGCCTGAATTGATGAATGCTGTTTTAATGGATAAAATTTAAATTTGTGAATCCCAACAGTGGTTTTAATTCAAAACAAAAACAAAAAGTTCCTTGCTAACAAAATCATGGCAAATATTGCCATGATTTAATAAAAAGACTGAATGCTCTTAGTGTGTGCACACACACGTGTGTAATATATAATACAGATGTATGCACACACATAAATACATATCTACCTACTTAGTTAACTTTAACTGGTACAGGTGCTCTTCTTTTTCTCATGCAGCCATTAGTTGGAGTTAGGAGAGAATTCTCAAATGTATTTTTTGCTTGTATTCTTAATCAGGCTTGGAATTCATGTTTCCAGGGGCTACTCTATTGCTACACCTAATTTATGCTGCAATTCACATTGTTAAGCCTTCTCCACTCTCCCCCAAATTATTTCCCAGATTTGGGGGAAGGAAACGCTTCTGCTGACATTTATGGCATATATAGCTAACTTTAACTGAGAAAATGTTATTAAAAATAGTATTATAAGGGTAATATTAATTTGCAAGAAAAGATGGACCATGAGGTAACACATCAATGTTTTGGTGAGGCTATGAATACTGAGGGCAAAAAATCATTCAGAAATTAAATGTATCTCTGCATCACCATTTTTGTTTTATTTGTCCCCATTGATATATACTCATGGATAAAATTACTTTACAGACAGTCCATTCTATGAAACACATTTTAGGCCATCGAACAGGCATCCCTGGTAGGATATGTCAAATTTTTCAACTTTCAATTTCCAAACATTGTGGGGTACTCAAAATTTGTGACGTGCCTTGGGGATTGTAAAAATATTATGGTTACTTTAATATAATTTAGATGTGCTTGGTAAGTAACTACGTAAATATCATAACCTTCTAACATTTTGTTTGTTTCATTTGAAGCAATAGTAGCTCCATCATCTTTTTTTCTCTGGTGCAACAAATTTTGCAAATATTTATTTTTATTCTGCCCTTCCGCCAGGGTATACATTTTATACGATCTATTGATACCTTCTGTGGACAAAATGCTTCCAAAACCAGCTGTATCAGATCAGTGGTAGGAGAGAGCTATATCGCCACTGCCATCTCCTGCTTACAAGCACCTCAAAAGGTATGTGGGAAAAGATACGCCTTGGCCTAATCCAACAGGGCTATTCTTCCATACACAATTATCTCAATTCTTCTTCACTACAGGTAGCCTTCGACTTACGATCACAACTGAGCCCAAAATTTCTGTGGCTTAAGTGAGAGCTATTAAGTGAGTTTTGCACCATTTTATGACTTTCTTGCCACAATTGCTAAGTGAATCACTGCAGTTGTTAAATTAGTAGCAGTTGTTAAGTGAATCTGGTTTCCCCTTGGACTGTGCTTGTCAGAAGGCTGCAAAAGGGGCTCACATGACCCTGGGACACTGCAACCGTCATAAATATGAGACTGTTGTGTCTAAATTTTGATCATGTGACCAAGGGGATGCTGCAATGGTGTGAAAAACAGTCATTAGTCATTTTTTTCCACTACTGTTGTAATTTCGAACAGTCACTAAATGAATTGTGAGTCTAGGACTACCTATAGTCTATAATAACATAGTAATTGGCTCTATGTCAGTGATGATTCAGTGAAGACCACAACTAAAGTTAAAGTTTGATATGCTGAAGATAGATTACTTCTCATAGATTTTGGATGGCATTCCAAACCTATTTATTTGTTGCTTGCTTTTATATTCAACTTACTTTCAGAAAGTAAAGGCAGCATGAGGCAATTCTCTTCCCATGTTACCCTACAAGCCTGTGAATGAGGAAGATGATCTGAGTGAGATCTGAGCCTCATTCTCTCCAGTCTTTAACTAGTATGTCATAAGAGTTAAAACTATGAAATTGCCAGCCCTTCAAAATAGACCAGGTCAACAAACAAACATTATTAGGGGTTGAGGGTTGGTAGTTTATTGTGGTAGAGTACAATAACAAAATCTTGAAATCATATCCTATCTTATACTAAACAAAATCA